CCCCAAAACCCCAAAACCCCAAAACCCCTCAAGGCTAAATTCGAGCTAAATTACTTATATAATGTTGCTAAAAAACAGATTGATTGATTTATTCTCAAGAATAATATCTAAATTATGAAATCTCATTCATTTTTTATTTTTAGCATAATTGAAAAGAATGGCCAGCCAATGAATAAATTAATATCTTTTAATTCACACAATTAATTCTCTTCTCCATCATTAAAAGCACCAATTTATTTTTAATATTCCTAATAAGCTATCTAAATTTCCTTTTTAAGAATCATAGCTGGATCTTAATCGATATCTCCCAAAGTAATACCTTCTTTTTCAAGTAATACCCGATATCCACTAGTGGAAAGTAAGAAATCTAAAACCATTTGAGCATTTGTTTTTATGTCCTAAACACATAAAGTTTTTCCAATTACATCAAAATATTTGGATGTGAAATCGATAGGCTGATAAAAAGTCTCCATAACTCCACAAATATCAAAAGCATAATAAGGCTAAGCTCTGTGATGAAATTTGTATAATATCTTATTAAATTTCTGGTATAATTCTGAAATATTAAAATCTTATTAATCTTGTAACTACGTATTTATTTAATTCGTCACATCATCACTATTTTAAATAGGGGTTGTGAATTAAAGGCTTTTGTTATAGATGATTTCTTTGAAGTCTGTCAGATATTGCTCATTTTTTTCGATGCAGTCCTTATGAATGTTAGAATTGAGAATGCTGAATTAGATATAAGACCAAATTACCACAAGAGAACCAGATTTATTTGCAACTTAATGAAGTTCGTGAAGAGCTCTTTATGGCTCAAACCAATGAAATACCTCACCCATTATAATTAAGTCTATCTCTCCGTCAATCTTATTATCCTCAACGAATTATTAGATGTCATAGACAGAGCAATTATGAAAAGTCAAATTATCAATATTGGAATTTACTTCACGAGCTTATTAGAGTTATTTGTCACTAATATCAAGTCCATAAATATGCCTGAATTTTGAGGCCAACTTTGCTGCAACCTGTCCAGTTCCAGTTCCAATATCCAAGCAAATTCTCCATCCATTTTCACTTTATAACATTGCTTCTTCTAATTGCTCATAAAATACTTTGGGATAGGTAGGTCTAATTGCAGCATAAATAGATGACTAGCCATCAAAACCAAACATATCTTTTCCACTGTTTTCCATGCGCTTTTATAATTTTAGAATTTATTAATTAATTATAATCTTAAGCATATATCCTATGCTTGATATTTGTTGGGGTTTTGGGGTTTTGGGG